TAAAAGACTAGAACTTCTCAAACATGTTGATTCAGTCAAGTTCTGACAACTAACGAGCTGAAATCGTGCACATGGAGAACTCAGAGCATTGATTGTCTCTGAGAACAAAGAAAGATTTGGACAACCAAAGAGAGCAAGGAAACATTGTTATGATAACGTATTAGGCAAATTATAAGGCAACAATGTAGTTGTCCAAATAGAGGATCAGACAGGGTATAAAGTAACTTTGTGGTCATTCGTATTTCGCCCTAGACGTTTTTATAACCAAAATGTGGAGAACCTAACAGTAAGGTAGGAACGCGAAAGCAAGACCAAAATATTTTGTATCAATGGCATTCACATTGCCTAACAAAACAGTGATCGCCATAGTCTGTCCAACGACCTAATCAGTGTTTACTTGGTGACTGATGCTGAGTGTGGCTACCTTTACTGACTAAACCTTGTATACGATATCGCCCAAAAGGGACAAAATATCACTCTAACTGGAGTGATAATTCACACATAGGTTTTAATTCCCCGTCATACCGTGGTATGTGGGTTGGCGGCACATTTATGGTAAGAATGACTAGTAGTGGGGTCCTCATTTTCACCACTTCTGGCCAGTAGCAGCGCCCGGTTATATCACAGCACGTCCTCATTCTCCAGATGACCCGTTCCATCTCCCATAATCTTATTACGCATTGTGACATCAATCGAAAAAGAGATACGCAGATAAACTCCTGCACATTATGTGTACCAAGTCAGATATATATGTGCTTTGAAGAGAGTAGTAGTAGTACAAGCCCGGAACGAAAACAGATACCCCCCTATGTCACATACCGTGATCGCTGATGGGATCAGCGTGGAATTTCATAGTGCGAGAGATAAACTGGTAGCGGTGAAGTCGAGAAAATCGGTTAGAGTGGTTTCGGCAATAGTCTTCAAGAACGCATCTCTCATTCTTGTTAACTTGGAGGACCAGTTGGATCATCGCCCTGCGACAAAGGAAAATTGGTTTTCACCTGCTGCTACACTGCACTCTTGACCACGTCCCACATGTTGTTGATTGGGTTTAACACGAACTAGCACGGTGTCAATTTTAGCGGCTGTAAACTTCGAAACGTCCGATCCAAAGCCGCATGGAAAGGTGCGCTGTAGTATACTACTACAGTATTGTTAATGATGGTGCATGCTTTAAGTTGCTACGACATCCCTATCAGCCACTGCAAGCAATGTACACCGTCGTACCCTCTTTGAACAGACGATACACCATCCTGGCTTGCTCCATAACACCGACCAACTGACGACTGCGTTGGCAGTGGGTGGTAACGGTTACGAGCTCCCTTGAATCTTAAAACAAACGTTCCATGGTGCTTTTGCAGAATGAGCTGAATTTTGTTGCATCAGTCTAACAAACTGTACGCTGTTACTTATAGCATTTCATGAGTTGGGAAACGATACGTTTCCTCACTTACTTGTTTGCCATGACATTCATACCAAAAGCTGTGTGATGAAGCTTCTTTAAGGTTATTAAGTAACAATCGAGATAGTGTTCTGTAGTAACGAGAGAGCTACTTTTCTAATTGTGCCTTCTTGCTTAATCGAAGGTGCTTCAGGGCCACCTTTGGATCGTTTGTTATTTGTTACAGTAACTTGTCAATTGCTTGACCAGTTGTAGGTAGTTTTACAGTTGACCCCACACATTTCATCCACCGTCTGACATTCCTAGCTCCGCTCAGAAGACATCATTTTGGGTATATGAGTTTCATCCCAAATACGGATATTTGGCAGCTATCTGACATTTTCCGAATAAACAACCACCACCAAAGTGAGCCACATCAATACAAGTCATAGCTGTATGTTTCTCTTCTTATCTCGTCTGTGTGTGTACGGACCTGTGTTTCAACTCCACTTTACTAAGAGTAAACAAGTTTACCCATATGTAATGATATCTTATGACCTCAACACGAGTTGTCAGGGCTTTGCCCCGTCCATTAACAATGGTCCGCTAGGCTGTTAGCCATGACTCACAATTTTCAAACCAATGAAATTTGTATGGTGAAAACGAGTACAGCATTCTATCTGACTAATCGTGTGATCAGCCAAACAGTGACCTGACGTTAATCTGCGATCTGAAGTGTGAGGTATGTTCAATGAATAGCCTTGTGTGTTTGAAATACGAAAGTTTGTTATCAACAAATGAATTTTCATCTAAACAGATAAAAAGAATACACTCAATTTTCACTCTTGATAGAGTTTGTCAGCAGTGTATTTTTTATCTAAACCAGGGTTGAATTCTGGCCACACCCTTGGGAAACAGTGTTGACCACTGTGTCATTGACCTCATATCCTATCCAAACCTTCACCCACTTTGGCCTATGATTAAACTTTAGATTTCCCGACTGCCTCGAGATGAGGCACGGTAACTATCCGGTTAACTCCAATCAATAATCTTGGGTTCGCAGCATCTTATCATATTGAAATAAGGAGAACCATTATACTCTAATTCGCATCGAATCCTAACAGATTTTGCTCATAAAGTGTAAAAAATATGTGAAGCATCTGATTTCCCGTTTTGGTTTTGGTGTTCAGATAATGAAATTAATTGCTTAGCAATAAAACAAACTACTTAGATATGGTTTATTGGCCTTGCCTGACGGATTGTTCCACCGTCGATTTCAGGTTATCCCAAGGTTTACATAGACAGCTTATTTGCTGACCACTGATGCAATTCGAGGAAATCGCATACACAACGCTATTCACTCACTTCCATTTAATAAGAGAACAATATTATAATTCAACCTGGGGACACAAATGTCGACTTTATCACTGATTTTCTCTTCGCTGAATGTCATCCAATGGTTCGTTCTGGCTGTGTCCTGATCTGTCAAACGGAACACAAACATTGACAACTGGATAGCGCCCTAGTTTCAATCACAATCGCTCATTCATTAGATGTCGTACATTTTCTCGGACAAAAATGACAGGACGAATTGGGCTTTCCAAGTGAAACAAACTAAGTTTATTATGCATGGTAGACTGATAAACCGGTCATGATTCTTGAGACATAAACCCAGGAGATTCTCATGAATTCAATTTTGTAAAAATGGTAGGCAGCCTGTTGATTGATAAGTGTTTCATTTGCGAGGCTCTTTTATTCCGTTTTTTCTCCATTAAGTGAACCATCTAGTTAAAGCTTTCCATGTGTCAGTGTGTGCACTCAGAGTAGTCATTCCGATCTCCGTTTGCTCAAGGTGACCACCCATTCATAACATGTGAATTGTTGTGGTCCCATCCATTGCACTCAACGGAGATTACACAATCACAGAGGGTGACGTCATTGTGAGGTGTGATTTACACTAAGAACCCAAAAGATCGCGTTGTTTTGAATAGTTAAGTAAAAAGCAGGCAACTAAGTACCTTTGTAACGAGGTTTTGGAAGGCTCAAATCCCGATAGAAAGGTTTACCCGCTGGAATCTGAAAGGTCACAAGTACTGCAAAATGCTTCCCGAGCAGCCGTTTTTCCCTGTCTCTTCAATAAGATTATGGAATGTTTGACAGGAGTGAGTAGAAAATAATCATATAGAACATTCATTTCGGGTGTTTGGTTTTTGTCATACTTGGCATTTAGGTGTTAAACGTTTCACCATCAAACAAGGTGACATCACAAGACGGTGTTCATACGAGCATTGCTGTCGGTAAAGGTTGCTTATTGCCAGTATTTATATATTATGGTAGGGTGATTTTTCGACCGGAAGTCTGAATGGCTGCTTCTTCTTTCTACTGTTACCTTGGACTGAAGTTTGACTGACCAAATCTTGTTGTTATGATTATTTGTCTGAAGGCTGATTGACTAACTTAGTTGTTTTTGAACTTTCGATCAGACATATGATTAGTTACTTATTTCTTCACGTTGAAATTCAAATAAGTAGGTCGGGTTTTCAGTGACCAACCTTTTGACTTGTTACTGATGATCAATATTTGACTGTCTCGTGTTGGTTCGTTCATTTGCCTGTTCTCTATCTGTACTAGTTCGTAGACTTTGCCCAATTCGATGCTTGTTTGTTGAATTGGTTGGCAAATTCCAGGCTTCCAGAAATTCTCTTATGTATTTAGTGCTTCGCTTAGCAGGGACTTTTACGTTGTTCACGTCGAATGTGTACAGCTTGATCTTGGTGGGTAGAGTTTCAAAAGAACTGATCTTATCGCTTGTTGGCTGATTAGTTTTCGCGTGGATAGCTTTCGTCCGGTTTGGTCGATATAATGCATTTCCCCGTCCTTGCATTTGATTGTGTATATCACGTCCATTTTATCGACGGACTTGCGTTTTTTTGTCGGGTTTGATAACATTTGTTGTATATTTACGGTTAATTTGTGTGCTATCATGAAGCTATGATTTTGCAAGAATCTTACAGTCATTGTGACGTTTTGATGTATAACAGATTAATTCGTTTTGCTGGTTTCCTCGTAGACTTTGAGTTTATTTCCCTTCAAAATAGGCTGCATCCGATGAAATCTCGTGGATATCAGTGACGAAGAAATTCCCGGTAAAAGTGCTTTTCTTCCTTCTTTTTGAGTCCTTTTGTACTACAATGTTTCTCTACGATTTAAAGAGAGCGGTTAATTACGTGGCAATTTGGGTAGTTGCTATGAGACTTGAAGATTTGATATGTGTCTGTTTTTCTTCGGTAAACTGAAGTCTACAGTATTTTACCAGTCTTCTCAAATCTATCACCGTGTCCAACACCCGTAAACACCGATTACCCTTGATTCAATTTTTCCAACCTGAAAGAGGATTGGAGTCTTAGGACATTATTGTTTTGCTTGACTCATATTAAACATTAGCATAAAACCCGCAAGACTGATGTACAGTGCACGTGACTATAATTACTGAACAAACAGACCAGTCAGTTATATTATTGCACACTGTAATATGGCAGTTATTTGCATAGGAAAGATGTGGATTATTTCAAGTTCAGAACTGACAGAAATCTAGAGGAGATGCATTTGCGAAAAATCTAGACTTCGGCTGGATTCGAACCAGCCACAGAAGGAACATGCCCAAATTTCGCAAGCGCTCTACCAGCTGAGCAACGAAGCCACGCCAGAAGCTGAGAAATGTTACATTCGGACCTAGTTATCCACCCAACCAGCTGCGTCATATGGAATCCAACAAATGATCCAACCGATTGACTGCCCAAGCAGGATTTCTCGTTCAATTCACGCTGGATTCCACCAGTGTCACCGATGAGCATCGAGTAATTCAATTTCAGTACACTACAACACAAGTATGATGCTAGAACACGCATGAGGAATCGAGCTGGTTTGCTATCTTTTTTTAAAACGACAGGGGCTGTTTAACTGGAAACATGGAGGACGACCTGCTGTCCCAAAGCGGAGCGTCAACAAAATAGTGCTGAGATAGAATAATAGTTTTAACCTTGAACTCGACAAGGTCTACACGGTTAACGTGAAAGCTGTCTGTGAGTTTCAAACCAGCCAAGTACTTATGACTTTTTGGCCAAAACTGATTTAGAATTATAACTGCTTTTGAATTTTTCAAATTTGACACGGTTGACCACTCCATCTTCCTATAAAAACCCCATAAATACGATTTTGAGCAGCTTACGTTTAGATCATTAATAGCTTCCTTGATTTGAGGTGAGTTAAGTGTCAAGATGAGAATATAGTTATTAAACGGGGTACATTTTTACCAGTGATGCATCTCAACCCGAATAACCTGTTGATCATCTTATTGGTTGTTAATTTTCTCAGTATTAATAAAAGCTCCATTCTGCCTTTTATTGGCAGCAAAAATATTCCAAGTTCTAAATCATCGGGAGTATGTAAGACGATTCGAGCTGTTCTAACCAAACACTCCACAAATACCGGATTTCCATCCTAAATGAACAGATACAATGTCGTGATGATGATTCACATTGACCCTTCTCCAGTCCTTACATACACTAGTGCATGAAAACAATGAACAGGATAGCTTGCAGCGTCAAACCCGTACACATTCGGTAAACACATTCTGTGCAAGCTGCACTGTTGTCGTCCAGATGAGTTGCAGGTTTACAATGAAGTACTGATCTAATATCCATTCGACAAGAGAGAATAAACTGAATTACGGTTGCATTGGACGTTTCGCGAGACATTCTGTGCGTGATGGTCGGTTTATTTTGCTCATCTGTTTATTCTCCTCTTCTCACTTATCACTCCAACTTAAAAAAGTTCTGTCCAGCTGCCTTAAAAGGCTTCAAAAGTTTTGAGTTGGCGCAAATGTCCTTGCGAAAAGTCCTTCAAAGTCCAACGATTGACACTGTATCAAAGAAAGACAAACACTTTGCTTCCAGTTTAGCAAGCTGTAGCTCGAACCTGGACTGGATCGTTGCTCGCCGAGTGTGTTGGTACATGTCGGTCATTACGCTAGATTCCGTATAACCGTGTTAAGTTGGGTGAACGGACGAAGCTCACATGTGGGAACGAGTGAAAAATGTTGATCGACTGATTCATCAATATTCCTCAGAATTCACGTGAACAATAGTCACCGAGACGACGAGATCGACGTAAATTGATTTATTCCCTCTGAGTAAGTGAGGCTGATCTGAAAATTGCGGTAAGTTTGGAAGAGATCGACCTATTTTTCACGGAATATGTTTGTTGGATCTCTGCGAATTGAGGGCCACAGACAGTTTTGTTCCTTAGTCGTTGAGAAACATGCCTGTACGACCCAGTGGCGCAGTATAACGTTCCTATTGGACGGTCACCGCCTCATTGTCTGTTTCGACAAATTCGCCCGTGCTCAGGAAGGTTGTCTACGAACTGTCTATTGAGCTAGTGGACGGCTATACAGTGAAGCCAAAGGACGTAACTTATGAAGTGATTAAGTCACTTTCTATATTTTACTTGGTAACACAGTCGTGAATTTTAAAAGTTTGTTATGCCTAACAGAATAGACTCAAAAAAAATTCGATTGGAACATCAGGAACTATGTGTACAGATATACCTATGGTCACTGATAGCTGTTTTTATATACAAAATAATTATTAGCCACCATCAGTAATATCCGCTTCTAAGAACTTTAATAAGCGTTGAATTTCATGGTACATCAAGAAATATTGAACTGTTCATCAGGATAAAAACGATGATAAACTGTCAGTAAGTGTTTATCAGCAGATTAGTTAGGTTCATATCTGCTTTTTTTCAGTCTAGTTCTGTCTCCTTCATCAAGTTGTTCAACTATTTTGGGACACATTCACTTATTTTTACACCAAAGTACCTGCTAGTCCATATCTACGGTAATATATGAGATTTACGTTACCTAGGTATTGACATGTCTACAGAACCGGTAGGTGGACATCAGGTTAACACAAATAAACTTTTTGCAACGTTATGCCAATACTTCTAAATATCGTTTGTGTTAGATGGCCATCTTTGAATGACAGTTGCATGTATGCCATCTTCTCGAAGATTCCGAAGCTTTGTACTGCATCGGACGATTGATAACGACTTGTGATGAAATTTTCTGTGAAGGAGTGACAAGAAGGATTTTCTAGACTGCACGATTAATATTAGTGATGCCGTAAATATACACAAGCAATTCCATTTGATTCTCATCGTAACTTGCGAACTGCGATCCAACAACCACCTGGACAGTTTTCTATCAGGTGTCAGTCAAACTTCAGTGTCCAAATCACTGCAGCGTTTAAAGAACCAATTTATTCGGAGTTTTCACTCAAAGGAGTTTATTTAGTTCTGGCGACTGATCCAATGAGGCCATCCGTCATGACTTATTCAGTGAGCTACCAAATGGAGTTGAAAAATCGTTTAACAGCCGAATGGAACACGCAAACGATGGACCAGGATTATTGTTCGTTTCTGTCTGCAAATGTTAACACTCGGTGTTCAACTCATTGTGCAGAGTGTTACTTACCTAGCAAGTCCACATCAAGCCTGATGTTTGAACTGTCAAAATTTGTCTGAATTGGACTCGTAACTGTTCTGTGGTCATTGACCCTGCTTGACTGTCGACGCTCCAAAGATAAAAATCGAACAATAGTAATTCCGATGACCTCAATGGTTTCTCTGGTCTTTGAAAATTGATTTATCATGGAATAAAGGCGGTCTTCAAGTAATCCCAGATGTATTGTATACAATGTGGCCATGCATCTTCTTGTTAAAATCACAGAAGCTTCCGTTCGGTGGCGGATAATTTCGAACAGCAAAGATAAATCTTACGTTAAGCATTCTCAGACAGAATGTGCTCGCACATTTGTTACAATCAGTGACGTTGTCGTAAAAGAAAGAAGTGCATCCAAGATGTCAACCCAGCCCATATACTACACGGTACAATATGAACAGAGCACTTTGTAAGGTTATCGGTAGGCCAAAAATTAAACTTTGAGAGTGATTCATTCAGTTTAAAAATAGATAGCCTCGCCATTGATCAATATTTTTTCAATGTCCTCATGACCAATAAAATGTCGACTGCCGTTAACTCAGAGTTTCTTCACCCACAGTTTGGTATATGGTTTACATTTGTGGTATCCAAAATTGTGTGAACGTAGTCCGGTGAAACGTGGCAGTTTGTGCAAACAGACGTGTACTCTTTTTGGGAATTTTATGTGCCCATTAAAACCAGTTGAATGGAGCAACATCGTCTGTTTTTGTTCTACATTTGCGAAGGAAGTTTGATACATAAAACCACTGACGTTATGAAACGACTGGTAGGCTGACAGCACTTAGTTTAGAGACAAGAACTCCTTCTTTATGCCTCCCACAGGAACGTTAAGCAGTAATAGAAACATCCCAGTCATAATGGACTTAGTTCACTCCTGGATGATCGTGCATTCTTTAAGTACCATGGTCATTCTGAGATGACTCCACTATCGCTTTCAGCTCACTGTTTATCAAAACACTGACCTAATCTTACTTGCCACTAGATCGAAGTATGCAGCTGACTAATGAAAACGTATAACTATAACAGGCCGTAACATTTATTGTTCATGGTGCAGTCCTGTCGATGTTCCTCAAATGTATTAAGCTAACTAGGCTAGACATGAGAACCATTCAATCACGTTGCAACGATAAATTTGTTGGAAATAGTCATATCTTTGCTTCCCATTGGCTTTCACTTATTTATCGCGTAACAGCGAGTCCGGTTAGTCGACACATCACCAGACAGGAATGTCTAGCTTATCATTTTGGATCAATATCGTAATCTGACTTCTTTATTATGCATGCTTGGCAAGTGACATGACACAGAAATTAATTCACACATTTCATTTGCACTAGTCAATAAGTGAGGGACTGTGCCCGAGGCGACAGAGGTAGATAGAGGGCGTGTTAACTAGACGTCCTGGCAAATAATTTGACGGTATGCACTAAACTGAGAAAACCAGTGCATTTGTTTTGGATCGGTAAGCAACATATCAATCGCAAACATTTCTTCTACTGCGATTAGTTAACAGGTTGGTTGTATAACGTGTTGGTAGGCTACGCGTGACAGCTCGATAGTCGGGTCTTCGCGCTGGTGCCGGCAAACGGTTCGTTAGGTAACATTGCCACTTTATAATGCTTTGGAATATATTCCGTCATAGTTTGATTAAGGTCTCGATGTACTCTGTCTAGGTGAACATTTTTACAATTACAGTAAAAATGACTACATAGAAGGCGTTTGTCGGCCGAACGATAATCACTGCAACGGAATTTCAAGCCACCAGTTCCCAGCAGAACGGTAAATCTAGTCGGTGAACTTCAACGCTGACATCAGTTCATGACTCAAAATATTTTATAAATGTTTATTGTTGATTCTGGCAGGATCAGTGAGATCTACGTTCGGATTACTACAAGTGAAAGTGGTGTTGCGGGGGCAAGATGTCCGCTGAGATGCTAAAACCCTGGAGCTGCCCCACCCAACCTCGTGACCTTCCTAACTGCGCCACCAAACCGCGAGCTACAGTCTGCACAACGTCCACTTAGACCATTTATATATATCTCTATGTGTTGATTACACTTACTTCACTGTTGAACGTAACGTATTCTCAGTTCGAACTATGAATTCCTAATTGAACTCCCTCTTTGCTTATCTTGTACCAT